TGGTGTCTGCGTAGTATTTCCGGTTGCCGCCGTATTATAGCCGACATTGGTGTCGGAGAAGCCCGTCTGTAGCGCAACCGTACCTCCTTGCTGCAACTAAACGTTGATTATTTAAAATGATTGACGATGAAATGGTGTATTCATCATCGGCGTGACACATATGTCACATTTTATATAATTAAAAAATCAAGAAGTATATCATATGTAATTTTCTTTACTGTGATGAATAGCGCAAATTTTATTAAAAAAAGAGATATTAAATATTTACCGGCTGTTGTGGTATTCCATAATTCTTGACAACACCCGACGATTGGCCAAGGTTCTGAGGATGGCCGTATGCCGTGGGATAACCAGGCTGTCCCGGCCTGAGGCCTCGTTGCCCCGCTTGTTGCTGCTGCCTAATTTGTTGTTGGTGTTGTTGCATCGCACGGTATTGATGCTGTAGCTGGACAAGCACATTTTGCTGCTGCGGTGTCAAGCTACTGATATTCTGTTGTAGGAAATGCAGCATTTGTAGTTGCTGCTGCGATAGATAAAACGGCGGCGCCCGTTGCTGCGGCACGGCCGATATCACCTCGTCGGTCTGAAACATTGGATTTAATTAATGCGAAGTTGAAATATTTAATCACATTATCTGTTCTCTGATTAATAACTGAACTCTCTGCAAATACTTTATTATACTGGAATCTACTTTATTTATAAAATACTGTATTAAATTAAATAAAAATATATATAAAAAAGAGAGAGAGAGAGAGAGAGATAAAACTAATTAAATAAGTTAACAGGCTCTACCGAAATAAATCAAGGAAAATCAATGCCTATAAAAACCAAACACAAAATGAACGCGTGTAATAAATTTATTCGAATAATACAATAATAGACGTTTCGATCCTGATTGTGGATCCTGTTCAATATTAGCAAAATTTGAGTACAAAAATTTGAATACAAATTTTCTAGATGTTAGTTCAATCAAACAAAATAATATAATAATATATGACTGGTATCAAAAACCTACGTCATCTGGCCGCTATTTAAATTATCACTCTAGACATCCATTGATTCACAAAGAAGGCATTATTTTGAGACTAACTGATAGAGTTCTTCTTCTTTCTTATTCAACTTTCTACCAGAAGAATTTTGAAAAAATCATAGAAATTCTGTTACACAATGGCTACCCTTTAAAAATATTTAATTTTTTTCTACCATTAATAAAAGACTACATAACAAAACTTGACCAATTAAGTAATAATGTAGATAATAACAACAAATACAATAATATCGCTGAAACTCAGAGACGTAGATTTTTTACGATACTTTTTATATCACACATCTCAGAAAAAATCAAATATTTTTTAAGAAAAATTCATATATGTAGGCTTACAAGGGTATCAACAAGCTAAGAAAATTCATCTATGTGCAAAAAGATAAACTACCCACTCTATCACACTCCAACGTAATATACAGAATAAATTGCAAGAATTGCAGGACATCTTACGTGGGACAAACAGGGAGAATTTTGAAGAAGCGCATTAATGAACTCAGAAACCACATCAATTGGAACACGACACAACACTCAGTCATCACAGTACATAGACTAGAATTCTCCCATAAATTTAATTGGGAGAATGTAAAGATTTTAGACGAAGAACAATTTTTACACAAAAGGTTAATATCAGAAATTATTTTTATTAATAAACAATTACAGGGACTCAATATTAAAAATGACACGGAATCTCTTGATTCTTTATATTCTAATTTATTTACAAGAACTTGATGCTTCCTTCTCTCTATCATTTATTGCCAATGTTTATACAGGATAAGTCATTTTAATCGAACCAGTCAAATATCTCGAAAAATATGGAAGATACGGAAAAATATTTCAGACAAAAGTTGTATGATTTAGAGGGGGATATAAGATGGTATCATTGGCTTGACCTTGGATAGTCGTTTGAAAGTCACGTAAAGGTCACCTTCAATTTCTTAAATGGAAACCTTCATTTTTTATTGCATATTCTTGTAGCTTACCTCGAGAGCTTTCCAAAACACTTTAATAAAATATTTTTTCATTAAGTACTTCTCGAGTTATAAGGCTCGAATGTTACAGTACCACCGACATAGCATTACGCAAGGTGTCTGACCGACGGCTAAAACCTTTTGAATGTTGTTCAGGATCATGTCCTGGATAACATTCGTTAAAATCAAGGTCATTGGAGATTGTTTCTCTTATTTTCATTTTTGCATTAAAAATTCATTTTTATGTGAATTCACAATCAGGATCGAAACATTGTATTACTCGAATAAGTTTATTACACGTGTTCATCTTGTGTTTGGCTCTTAGACAAATGCTTAGGCATTGATTTTCCTTGATATAAAAAAAATAAGTTAGAAGTTAGATTTTAGAAAAAAATTTGTTTTATAACGTATTCTTTTACCTTAAATCGCTTAGCATTCTGTCCCTGAGCTTGAGGATAAGGCGGAGGTGGTCCAGTCGGTGTGGCACCATATTTGTACGAAGGTCCGCCGGGTTGCTGCTGTTGTTGCTGCTGCCGGCTGGACATCTCTGCGCTAATTGGCAGATTCCAAGCCTCTTCGATTGACGGCAATTGCCGCCTCCTAGGTAAAAAATTATATGAAAACAGGAAATAAGCTTTGTAACGCATCAAAGAAAAATACACTAAAGGTCGAGTATAATTTTGTATTGGCCTTTAACTCTTAATATTATTTTCAGATTTTATTTCGAACGCGAGCGTGGCATGGCAGACAGTGCACTGATCTATCATGTCAGAGAGAGGTCCCGGGTTCGATTCTGGTAGGAATCAAAATATTTATGTTCGTGTCTTCTCTCGGGAAAGGCCGCAACCTCCCGAGAGTACTCTTACTCAGAAACACTTCTCGAAAAATCTCTGATTCAATTTCTTTCTAAACTTGATCGCCATTATTATGTTACATTATTGTTATCAAATATCTATTAGCAAATTTAATATTGAATTACATATATATTTTATTTTTACTCCTATGGCCCTTGTTTCTTCAATTATCTTATTTTTATTTCAATGTTATTAATATCAAATAATACAAGTAAACAATTTTTATTATTTTGGCAATTTTATGTAAATTTCAAAAACACGTAATCTCTCAAACATATCCATCTGTTTATTCCAATGTGTAAAGAGCTACATGAAAAATCGTTATAATGGAATCGTAATACGAAATTTGACTTGTCGACGACTCACTTGTTAGCAACGGAAGGCATTGGTGCTTGACTTAGGTGACTCTGCAGAAAGCTGATGCGCTGTTGGAGGGACGGGTTCATCGGGTTGTTGCCACCGGACTTAACGCCACCCAGACCCGCGAATGGGCCCGTGCAATTCGCTATATTGCTGTTTCCCCTATGAGTAATAAAGCAGAATTCTTATCACACTGACCTAATAACTCAATGTAATCATTGTTAATTTTTGAGATCGTCAAATGTAAACTCAGCCTTCAATCTACAACACGTGCCGATCGTTCTATCGCAAGATGATAATTACAAATCATAAAATTCACACGCCGTGACATACAAATGATAACGTAAGAAAGAAGTGACATGTAATACAACTTACAGAATTACAATGAACGATTTGATGCAAATTAATCATTTACTTAACTTTTATCTTTTAATTATATTTTACATTATATTTAATTTAATTATTAATGTGATCGATCGTTAGTAATCTAACTATTTAATTCGCTTAAACTGGAACATATGGGTCCTGGTATGACCCTGAGACTTTTCCTAATTTTTAAATAATAATTTGGAATAATTTTATGTTTCATATTTTTATTTTTCACAGTTTTGAATTTGAAACATTCTTTTAAAAAATAAAACTAATATCAAAATTTTATATTTTCTATTAACATTAAAAAATACGAGTTTTTGTTATAGATTAAATAACGAATAAATGTACTCGCTACAATGTTGAAGCAATAGAACTAAAGTGTGTGTATAATTATGAAACGCTATGAAAATGACTCGCGCAATATGTAATTTACCTGGATGCGTTAACGTAACAGGCCAGGGCGTCTTTCGGTTGACTAACACTTTCGTATAATATGCCTAGATTAGTCCATGCAGCTGAATGGGATTTGTCTAATTGCACAGCACATATGTAGGCTTGCAATGCGTCCATAGGCTGATTCTGCTGTTGATATAGCACTCCTATACTACACCATGTGTCCGCATTGCCTTCCGATTTTTCGACTGAATTTCTATTGAGCACATGGAGAAGGTCATTAATTTCCAGACACAGGGAGAAAATATAAACAAATGTATATAAATATGAAAGTATACATATATTAAATCTACCATACTTGCCTGTATATTCGTACTAGTGTGAATATCTTTGGAAAATAATATTGGAAAGTTTCTTCGGTATTTTGTATTAATGCCCTATACAAATATCAATAAACGTATTATAACAAATGAATAAAAAAATATAAAAATAAATTTTTGGAACATGCGTAACACACAAAAAATATAAATATAAATTTTTAGAGCATGCTTAAATAAAAAAAAAGAAAAATAAATATTTTAAAGCATGCGCACATAATAAGTTTTTCAAATTCCGAAAAAAATTTAAAGTGGCTAAAAAGAGTATCCATTGAGAAAAGAATATTTATTTAAGTAGAAGAAATATAAAGATATTGATTATTTTAATTGATAAAAATTGTTTCTAAATTGAGCGATGTCATCGCTTTTCAGAAGTTCATTCAATAGAAACTTTTCCATAAACAATACAACAATACTCATGAATAATGCAATAAAATTCGCATACTGTTTATTGAAATTGCAATGCCGGAAAGTCAATTTTAATCTCACTAACAATAATAAGTTTTTTCATATGAAACATTATATTTCGTCATTATAAAAAAATGCACAATTATTATATATATATATATATACACATAAACTATGTGCATAAATAAAATATATAAAGTATGTAAACAACTTCTCTATAAAAATCGCAGTCTAAATAATAAATAGGACATACAAAATAAAATTAATTTCCTTATCTGAAAGTACGGGGAACATCATCTCAAAAAAAATTTATATCTACGTATAAAAATTTTGTAATATTATATTTTGTAATATTAGCTACAAATGACAAAAAAGAAAAAATTCTTTAAACGACTACCTCCATAATATCTTAGATGCAAGGCATATGAGAGATATTCATTTTTTTTTTACCTTCAACATTAACATGTTTTCATGATTATTTAAAAAATTTCAAGCACACACAGTTCATTTTTAGATGGACCCCTGATACGTGAAATGCATCATATATTCTTTCATGTTGCAATTTCAACAGATTCACACTCGATGGCGTACCTGGTTTTCGAGTGTCATTACCTGTATGCGATAAATGCTTCGTGCACCTTTCCGGAGGCAGCTAGACAACGTCCTAAAAGATAAAGGCTCTGTCCGCTCTTGGGTTCGGCTTCGATGGACTTTTGCAGGCAGTGGATAGCTGTGAATTGCTTCTGCGCTCTAGTTATGCCCAGCACCGTGCATTCAACCACGTGATACATCCATCCTGCGTGAAAAAACGAAGGCGAATGATACACGTGACGCTGTTTCTTCGTTATTTTCTTCTTTCGTCTGCCATCTCGACAACCATGTTACTACGCAGACATGACGCTACATGACGAACTACTAGCGAACTAAACTGAATAGACTCTCTCAGGTATGGCCTAGGGTTGCCCCCGGCAGCAATCGTTCTTACTGCTGCTGCTGTCCCTTCTCTAGGGGGGCTGTCTCGAATTACCCCCTTGTAAACATAGGCGCAGCAGCGCGAAAAACGACCCTAGTGCACAATAAGATTTTCGCCCTCTTGATGAGAATAGAAGATCCTAAGGGATTTTAGCATAGCCGAGCGATTATATTCGTCAATTGCCTTTGAAGTCGCGTTCCAATTCTCTCGGGGATTGCTGATTAACAATAAGATGTTTTATTAACTCTATTTCCTCGGATTAACTAAAATCATCCAATTTTCTTGAAAGGAAGGATATAAAATATTGTATAATTATTTAAATCTCTCGGGACATTTTCTTTAGAATACTACAATATAATTAGTATACAACATATTTAGTATTCACATACTATATATTTTTATCTACATAATATTCATATATATATATTCATACATATATATAATATTCTATATATATGTATATAATAAAAAAAATAATATCCTTCCACGCGTTTCCGATATAACAGGACGTTGATTTATGGTCACTGCTTTCATATTTGCGCGACGCGTGTTTACCTGTTGATACCCCACGGATTAATCGTCGTGGGAAAAGCGGGGCGTCGGCAAGAAGTTGTTATTCGCGACAATAAATGTACGACCGTAAATAGGTGAACACGTGGCGGAACTGCACGTGGGAACTGAAGTTAATTAAATCGCTCGATCGGTTAATTTCAACCCACTTACGCTTCTATCTCTTCAATAGCTTTAATAACTCTTTTATTTTAATGATGAAAGAGAACATAAAACTCCTTTAAATTAATAATAATTATTAAGTGGGTGCAAAAGTTTTTTTCTGTCGTCTTTTTGCCAAACTTTGATTTAAATAAAACCTAAAAATTTTAATTTTTGAGAATATTTTTAAAAATTTCTTTTAGATAAAAATGTGTATCGTGGATCTATGATGACTGCTTTAACGAATAAAAACTCAAATCGATAACTTTCCTAGAGGCAAAAACTTGAAAAAGGAAAAAGCTTTCGTGTTTAATATTTGTCATACATTTTTAGTACATGGTACTTTAATCCAGGGAGAGAGAACACCCAAATTTTGAAACTCTTTTGGAAATATTTCCGCCAGAATATTTATTCGCGGGATTAAAATAATTACTGATCGTGCGATACGCACCGCCGCGCCGCTTCGCTTACTCGTCTACCTTTAATGTTATTTATTCACCTGGCGTATTTACCTGTCCTAAACGTCACATCCCATATGCGCTCGATTTGCAAATCTGCCCGACCTGCCTTTAAATCGGTCCACCTGGCTATGGTTGGGTCCCGAAAGCTTCAATTTGTCAGTCGATTTAAATCACACCAACCGATCACCCCGAAAAACTTTCTCCCAATATTATAATATTCAAAAACAATAGATTTTTCACGAATATTTATATTTGTGTAACTTTAAAAAAGGTTTCATCGAAGTTTTGAAGGAAAAATGAGGCATATACAACAAAAATTATTGAACCAAAAAATATAGAACAGATTATTGAAAGCTTTATGAAATATTTACATCATTGTTATTCTCCTAATTAAAATAATTTTTTACACAATTGAAGGTATAGTTTGTTGCAACAGTGGGTTAACCCACATTTTGTAGTTAAAAATAAATCAACTCTAAAGTTAAAGTGATGAAAAATATCATATGGAAAGTATCATATGGTTAACGACATTTTGGGGCTAACTCCATGGTGACATTAGTATTTTTCGCATCACTTCAATTTTAGAGTTCATTTACTTCGTTTTTATAAAATATGGGAATTTTTTAATCTACAATAATTTCCATAACCCTAAAAATGCTATCGATAAGTAAATTTTACGTACAAAGAAATAGATTACTTTTATTTAATGTAACACAAGTTTTTCACATACATTTCATACTTTTAATGATAAAATGTTTATAATCTAGATGTTTATAAATACACAAATAATCTAGTTAACTTAAAAGAAAAGAAAACAATAAGCAGCTGTCAAATTCATTTAAAAATGATGGAGTATGTAATCTAATCGTATATATCTTCTCATAACACTTAAATAAAATATATATATATATGATATAAAATAATAACACAAAATTACTTAAAAATTTAAATCACTTATCACGCTCTCTGTTATAATACTGACCACAGAGAGTTCAAACTGATATGTAACATACAGAATGCAATAGCAATATTGTATCACTCAATAGCGATAGCATTGTAGGGTTAATCGTTTTGTATAAAAATAACAAAAGAATCAATTATGAGAAATTTGCTTTATATTTTTTATTTTGACATATTTAGATAAATAAAATATGAAACAATATTAAGTGAAAAAATCGATCGATGAGATTAAAGAGAGTTTGTACAAAATTTGAAATATCTCGCAAAATATTAACTTTTATACACATTGTCTATATTATGCGAATCTTTCGTATTGCAACCAAAATGTAATAATACAAATTGAATTTATTCCTCACAATGCAACACATCGCATGTTGAGGGAGAAAGAGGAAGAACCTTTGTTTCTTCATTCTTTCTCACCACAGTGGAAAAGAGAGCGGATGAAAGAGAGCAACAAGACAGAATTCCAAAAAAAGGGAAGCGGGACCGGTCGCGACCGGGACGGTTCGCCGACACGCGAGGATCCATAAACGGTCCGTAAAGTGGATGTCCCGTTCGCAACGCTTCGCAACGTCCTCGAAGAAGCGCAGCCCCGAAAGAAGAGACGCATCTTTCGTGAGATGGACGTGCAGACTTTCACCGTAAAGCGATCCGTTCCGAAGGATAGAAAAAAACGCTCGACCGAGGCCTAAAAGTCCGAAACTACACGTCGCGATGCTCGGAAAGTATATAATAACGTTACAGCAATTAACCTTTTGAAAAGCTTGAAGGACTTTCATTAAAAACTTTATTTTCTTTTTTCTTTCTGTTTTTTTAGATAAATAGAAAAAGGGTGGAAGGAAGGTTTTTATTTTAAAAGAAAGAAAAATGAGTTTTTCTTTACTTGCTAACTTTCTACCTGTGTTTCCTGGTAAACAAAAAAAGGAAGAAAGGAGATACCGTCTCTGTGCAAAGTGACAAAAGAACACGGTAGTGAAAGAGCGATTTTTCCTTTGGATCGTCGAGCCTTCAGTCTCATAGATTCGACTGAAGGCTCTCGGCGGACCGGCTGCACTCTGCCAAGTAGTCTGCAGACACGTGTATTGATTTATTCCGGGTTAGGGTGGACTGAGGGATGAGACGGAGAGGCAACTCGGGGGGGAAGGAGGAGAGAGAGTGAATGAACGAGGAACAAAGAGGGTAGGAGAGGCCGTGTGAATGGGTCGGAGAGAGAGGGAGCGAAGCTCTAGTTGTGGGAAAACTATCCCTTAGTTTCTGTTTCTCTCGCACCTGCCCTAAGTTTCTCTCCCTTCTCCCCATTTCTGTTCTAGACTGGCGCATAGACTACCGAATTGCAACGAGGTACGGAGGGATACGTTAAAGTGTTCCCCCTAGGTCTAGGATCGCGGAATCCTCGAATATTTTCGAAAGTAACACGAAGTAAGTTGCAATGTCGAAAACTTCAATATTCTGTTTCAAATTATTACTGATATTTTTGTATCTGATACCTATATTTTTTACGGAAACTATATTTTGAAATAATTACATATCAATAAATAATAATGAATTAATTAAAGATATCAAAATTATCGTTTTTGTCAAATCTTGTCTTCATTTAATAAAACAAATATTAATAAAATAATTTAATGTAATAAATAAAAGATTAGGTAAACGACGATAACTCTGATGTGTCAAATTAATTTATTATTTATTAACATAAAGTTATGTCAAAATGTAATTTTATTTCACAACTTTTCTTAAAATATAATTTAATTAATAACTTTTTATAATATTTTAAATACAATTGTGCCGAATAGAAAGCGGAATAATTCAAATAAACTTTAAAATAGGCGATAATTATAAGACTCTATTTATCTAATTATTGCGAAAGTATTTATACGTACGTATATTTATACGAAATATTATTTCTAACTTGAATTAGAAATTTAATTATAACTCTTATTTATGATTAAAAATCATAAATAAATTTATCAGACGGAACCTTTTTATTCTTTTATCGTAGGCTTTCTGTGTTATAAATATAAACGCTCTTATTCCTAGAGAATGTTGGAACTTCCAAGTAGAACTTTCCGAAAGTAACATTTTTGTTTCACATTCCTCTTTCCACAATACTTTAAATATTTATATATGAAATATTTACGCACTCCCCTGAGTCAGAAAGTGTCGAAACCTCTAAGTATTTCCGAACGAAACATATTTCACCCTCCTTTTTCACAAGATCTTCAATATTTATATAAGATATTCTAGCAGGCCAATTCTTATCTTTCCTTTATGTTCGCCTTAATATTGACATAGATAGGTCTTAATGTCAAACTTAGTGATTAAACGCAAAAGAAATTGAACTTCAAAAGCAAAATCTCTAATTTTCAGATTTCTCTTAAATGTATTCTTTGTAAGTTGACGATTATTTGCAATGTTTAATTGACATTGTTTTTATGAATTAAGTTTTTCTTTGAAAAATTTAAATTAATTTCTATTCATAAAAATAAAAAATTAATTTCTATTTTTTTTCTTAACAAAACAAAAGGAATAATTAATGACAAACTTACCCAATTGACGATAAATGTCGGCCTTCAGATGCAATGGCAGCTTTTCCTTCAGCAGGGTCTCGTAATGTTCCTTGGCTAGGCGATACTTGCCCTGAACCTCGTATAAGTGAGCGATGTGGAACTTGACTATAACAAACACGCGGAAGAGGATTTCTCGGTAAAACTTTCGATAGAAAAAAACTTCTCTCAAAGACTAGTCACGAAGAAATCAAATTACGTCGATTTGTACCATCGAAGATGAGCTTATCAGCCGAACGTGAGGGAGAGGATCATCGATCACGGTTAATTTGAAATTTGATTAATTTTCCACAGAGTAAAGACATCCGTCATGAAATGTAGGGAAGTCCAGATTCGAAACCTGGCTGAGGTGATATTTTTCAAGAAATTATTTATAACTTTTTGCGACGTTTATTGGTATTAACATCATTAAACTGCTTGCCAATTTAATTTGTGATTCTAGTTTCAGTTTAAGATTGCCCTTCAAGACCGAAAGTTGTTTCGGCAGTTTACAAAACTAAATATTACATAAATTCACACCGAAATATTATTTAAGCATTATAATCCAGTTCAGACTGATAAGGCTTTCTCTTTAATTAGTTGTATATTTACATGCAGTTTAATGTTTTTTATTGTTGATTAATTTTCATCATGTCGGTGGTACCGAAAGCAATAAGCACGTGCACAAGACTGGCGCGCGAGCCACGCTCGGCCGGCTATTTAAAAGCGCGATTTCCGGTGGGAAATTATATATTCCCGCACTAAATTCCCGGTATCCGAAAGAGAATGATTCCCGCGCGAATCATCACGTGAAAAACGTGGATAGTACAATTCGGAGTCATGAATCAGCATAGTCATCATCAGTGTGATTCATCCGCGAGAAACCTCCGTGCCTAGGAACTTGTTCTACATACATTTGTATGCGAGGAGAGGGGGAATCCCCACGAGGTCTGATTTCAACATTAATGACAGATTTCTCGCTGAATTTACAATCAGTTTTTTTTCTCGGGGAAAAAATGAGATACTAATCAGGAGTTTCCATCTTTATGACTTTAAAATTAAGATCCCATTAGAGCAAAGTCCGCGGAAATTAACAGAAAATATGATATAATATCTGCTTGAGATATCATATGACTCCATGTGAGAGCGACGAACTCATAAATGACAATTCGCGAGTTTAAATCCTGCATTCCGCATAAATGGAAAAATTTCGTAATCCATATTATACTAACTTAGCGGTGATCGCAAAAAAACTCTTTTAGGTTTTCTATAATAAGCGATTATCTAAGCTTTAAGTCTTAAGCCGTAAGAAATTAACCAATCATAAGTTCTTCTCACATTCGACTGTGATTGGTCCATTTCTTACGACTTAAGACTTGTAGAAAGCCCATTTAGATCTACAGGTGACTCTTTGACTAGGTTCAGACATATAGAGGCTGATATAGTTCTACTCATCCCTTTCCCGTTACTATTACTACTAATATCTGCTTGTGAATGAGAATCAAGTGCAGCAATTGGAGCGCAAATTAATTATTGAATGTATTCTTCTTGGTACATGAGTCAAACATTTCAACTTCACTTCGAGCCATCTTCGGCGAATAAAATTAATATAATCGTTATTTCTCAAGAGCTTTAATGAGGAAATAATGAATGTACCGCTAATGTTGGTTGCAAAGCCCAGTCGCTTAAATTCCAAAAGAAGTCGAGAATTAGAATAAAATCTGTGGATAGTCATGTAGACAAAATTAATAAATTAAATATAATAATAAAGACTTAGATATAATGAAGATTTCAATGATCGTCATACGAATAAAATAAAGGCTATGAAGTCGACTGTACAAAAGTCCAAGTCAACCAAGCATCACAATCTCTCACACGTTGTATGTGTGAAGCTGGCGTATTATTTGGTGGAAACTCATAAAATATTGAGAGTTCTGAACGTATTTTCAATAGTTCTATAGTTCTAGATGGATAAAACTAATAGTTCTGCCCTCTAAAGTGGAAAAAAAGCGAAAGTACAAACTAAGATTAGGTTCACGCAGCGTCTCACTTTGTCCTACGCAAATTTTGACCATAGATTCTTGTAGGATTTTGAAAAACAAAGAGGTCTAGATGAGTTTCCGAAAGAGTTCTGGCGATAAACAATGTTATTTAATTTTTAATAATATTTTAGCCTAAAAATACAATTTTCAGCAATAAAGACGAGATGCTGTCTAATTATCGACAGTTCTGAGAGTTCTATGATAATTTTTGTGCAATACCGAATGTATCCTAACGCCTTCCGAAGAGTTCTGATGATAAAAATTATTTACAAATTTTTTAAACAATTTTTAAGACCTTAAGAGAAAAGAACTTTTAGTTTTATCCATCTAGAACTATAGAACTATTGAAAATACGTTCAGACCTCTCAATATTTTATGAGTTTCCACCAAATGATACGCCAGCTTCACACACACTCACACGTTCGATACATTTTCTTTATTTTTGAATTCAGAGAGTCTATTGAGTATATTATTATTTTAATCTACTTGTCTCTCTCAAAGTTTGAGTTCTTTCGACGATCAGCATCGTGTCACTAACGAAATATGTATATCTCAACTGTTCGTTATATCTATTAATTGATGAGTTTATTATTGAAATATTCAGGTCAATTTTCTGGTTATTTTGATCAGATAAGTGCATGTTATTGCTCAGTTGTTAATAGAACCGAAAGTTGGTCACGAATTCGTGCGCGAAAGATAGACAAGATCTTAAACCAGTAAAACTCGTATGACTCTCATAAATAACTCTAGTCAAATCACACACATCTCGTTATACTGGTCAAAGAAATATTGTATTAGTACAAAAGCTATACAGTTCTTATAACAGAGAGCGATATAACCACACATTTTCACAGAAGAATTGTTTCTTTATTCAAAAGGACAGCTTTTACGATTGGCTATTACTATCGCAATAAAATTCCAACCATTAAATTGAAACTTCACTTAATAGTCTACTACCTTTAATTTGAAGAAAAATGCTATATATTTAAGATATCTTGTACAGAACATTAAAATATATATATTTAATAAATCAAGATTAAATTGTTTAAGCATTAAAGATCCAGCTTCGACCGTTATAGGCATTTCAATATTGATTGTGTTCTCACATAAACGGTCTAAAATAATATTGTTTGATTAAAATATCGATTAAAAAGTTTTGTAAGGAATTTCTTGCATTAAAAATCAATTATAGGGCGGTATTCTTAGTCCGTTCTTATTTTAAGATCGCCTTAAGTAACGTTTTAATATGCTAATACAACTCTCTGATTGGTTCATGACATCTTAAAATTGTACCTAAAACGGTTTTAAATATAAGAATTAACTATGAATATCGGCCTTAGCCTTTTTATCTGATAAATATTAGAGCTAAACTCAAGAAAAGTCCCTCAAAAAAAATTATTAAACTAGACGATCACGCGGGAGTCATCTCATTGACATGAACAATGAACAAAAGGCGGTCAAGTTCGATGAAGGAAAGTGAGGGAGCGATTACAGAGTTGCGACGCGCGGGGTGTTGGCTGGGAGTTTTCCGGCTAATGGCACGAATAAAGGGGACGAGTACTTACTCTCGAGCTTGGAGAAGGAAGCAGGTGTGGTGGCATCGATCAGGGCGAGGGTCAGGTGCTTCAAAGCGGCGTCGAATTCAGCGTGGACCTTCAGCATCAAGCCGAGCCGTAGGTGAACCTCGCAGGCCCGTGGAAATCCTGGTTCCACCCATAGCACCTGCTGGAACGCTTTCACGGCCCTGAAACAAGAGCAATACAAAGACCGTTATTAATTGAGTAAATAATAATTAAATAAATTGCGTATAAGATATAACAAGAGATAAGACAACTCGAATGAATTTGTCTTAAAGACATGATTCGTGCAACTTCTGAAAAAATATAGAGAAAAGGAAGCGGTTATGAAATAGGTGAGAAATTATAGAATACTATAATATCTTAAATAATTTATGCTGCATTCTAGGTACGATCGTCAAAACTTCTTCACAAAATTACTTCTTGCTTAGATGTTATAACATGACCATTAGCATTTATTATATTTTTGCAGAAGCCGCATTTTAATTTTACAAATGTGTATTTATTACGTAATTTTGAGAAATATATTGGTATTAATTTTGTAACTTCAATTTGTAGGTCTGTCTATATTTAATAAATATTTACTTAAAATTCTTTATATTTAAACAAATATTTAAATTTAGTTTTTTTTTCAGTGAATACATATACTAATTAATAGTATTCCATATTCCCTCTTCTGATCCATAATCGCAACCTTTTTCCCTTCTTCAATTTTGTATAAATTATACGTTCGTTCTATATACGAAGAACTACTATACCTCTAACATAATTGGTATCACTCTAACTTATACTAAAGTAGTTACGTCATAATATATCTATTGAGTTATTTTAATTAATAAAACAAAATCGTTCTCCATAATTCTCTCTCTTCTTTTAAGTGTTCAATATATTATAACAGTGTCTCGCATACAATACATGATTTCAATAAGAGATTATTCGATAAAATTTGAAACCAAGTTTCTCCGTTTCAGCAAAAAAGTCAGACTCGAAGTTTTTATAGCAACTTTACGAATTGAAATGAATAATCAACAGAATTACGTTTTTCAATAAACTTCAAGCAAATTATATTAGAATTTTGCCTCGAAATTTACAAAGATTCATTGTTTCTCGAAAATAAAGTGTCGCATGTGAAAACGTTTTATCCTACATATTTTGTTTATTAACGTTTCCTTCTCTTTTCGATCTAAATGATTGGGAGACCTTCGGGAGATCGGAGACTGATTTAATTTAAAATTAAATTGGGTATTCAATATCACAAATTTATTTTGTCATATTGTTATTATCGCGATCGTCCAAGCGAAATTATCTCATGTTGCTCTTTGCCTTGCTTTTTGTTCCCCCGTGAACCTCAACACCGTTTGCACGCGACAAGGCAAGGTGGGCATGCAGGAAGTGGCTAGTATGTAGTCGCTGTCACGCGACAATGGGGTCCCGCGAAAGAAAGGAAGGGGGAGCGGCGATGCGCGTAACAGTAACAATTGTCGCAAACGGCATATCGCAAACCCGCGCCATGCGCGACGCGATCGATACACGCCGATCGATCGCACGGATGCACACGGAAAGCCGGAAACGAATAATATACCCGTGCGTGCGAAAAAACATAGCGCGGACGACTGTAATGTCGTGGCCGTGCGATCCACGATTAAACAGCTCATTTCACGGATTGCACTAAAAAAAGGGGTGTTCTTAAAAAGTGAAAATTACGGTGTTGCGAAACTACTCTTCGCGAATGATTTTTCAAGCTACGGTAGAGATTTATGAAGAAATGTTAAAAAATTAGAAATTCACATAATTATTATAATATAATTTTAAAGTAGAGAAGAGATAATTATATAAGCAGGATATGATATATAATTTATAATTCTAAAATAAAAGATGGGAATTACAGATGAGATGTATAATTATATATGTACATTAATAATTACTACTTAAATTATAATTAAATATATGTATAATTAATAATAACGGAAATAATCCCCAATATAAATTGCATATCCTGAAGTCATATTAATCATGCAGTCACAGAATTGAAAAATGTGTGTTAAATTTAACACATTTCACAAGTTCCAAATGATCAACTCAAATTTTTGTATTATTGTTAATTTAATACAAATATGTTAAAAAGTAACATAAAAAATTAATACAAAAAACGTAACAATGACACAATTTGTAAGCAATTATATTTCTTCATTAAAATTAATATTTATAATACGTTAAATTAATAGATTTTATTTATTTAGCTTAAGATTCAGTTTTAAAAAACATTACTTTTATATTATTTTATTGTTAAATTAATACTTGGATATATTAAAAATTCAATACAAAATTTTAACAAAAACTTGAGTGGATCGTTCATAATAAAATAAAATGAAAATGTTTTTATTTGTTTCGTTTATAATAAAACAAATAAAAATATTTTTTAATGTGATACGGATGAATCGATACAAAAAATTCAACATCGACGTAACTGGATAAAGAAATATTTTTATCTATAATTTTTTAAGCGCTGAATAGAAAAAGATAAAATGTGAAAATAACTTCTTATAATATATAATACTAGACTTTTTTTCAATTATATATATTCCCTGGAAATTACCTGAGAATCGTTAATACAAAAGTATCACATTTAACACACGCAACTTGTAATGCATTAAGAAAATATTCCGATAATATGCAAGCACAAAGTTTGCTTTCCTCAGGAGGGGTGGTTGCAGGGCAACTCATGTTGCACGAGGGTGTGCCTTCGATCGCTATTTTATTCAGAGCGTCGTCGTTGCTGGACGCAAGCCAATGTCAGTTTACAGCCAGGCAAGAGCAACGTCGTCGAAGACGTCACTTTCGTTCCCGTTAAACGACGGTTGTTTGTAACGATTATGAATATATAGGTCACTGCACTAAATTCCTGTGTGAATCTCTTCTCAGGACAAAGTGAATCACATTTTCTGCCTTTCATCCAGAGAAAGGTTTCTTTCATTTAAAGAAATGTTTCTTTGCTATACGGTTAAAGAAAAAATTTCTTTGATTTGAACGTCATTTCTCTCTCTCTTTGATTTGAAAATAATTTTTTTAAATCAAATAAAAAAGTTTATTTGATTTTAAAAAGTTATGTTCAAATCAAAGAAACCTTTCTCTGGGGGTGTTCTCTTTCTCTTGCCTATTTTTCTTTAAACTTTCAAATTTTTATTCTATTCTCTTATTGTATTTTTATGTATATATCGCTTCCTTATTCCAAAAGTGACACAGCTCCAAAATTTGTTTCTTAAGGATTGTGAAACAAAAATGGCAAAAGTGACATCTTTTTATTGTTCTAGGTCTTCACAAAAAAAGTGAAAAAATTCAGAGTTAGATACTTTTCAACATTTCAATTAAATTACCAAATAAATTTTTAACTTAAATGTTAAAACCTTTATTTAACAGAAATTGAAATTCGAGAAAAAAAGAGAGTGAAATTTTATTGCGTAAAAAAAAAGATCCAAATATAGCAGATATAGAAAGTTAAGAATACTTTTTTCTTTTTGCCTCTTATTTGATTATAGTTAATAATTTTCTGATAAAATGAAAAAGTTTTCTCCTTTTTCTGGGAAACTTATTTTTTATAATATTTTGAGTGAGTTTTGTCACTTTTGAAGTACCTAAAGAAGATATGTTTCTTCTTACATATTTTATTCTCGTTTCGCTCGATCCATACTGGATCAATATTTTTAGCTTTAGCCTTATCTTATTTTCTTTTCAGAGATACGACTTGAGTAAAACTCCCCCTTATTTGTTTATTAGAAAAACGTGGCGCGACTTTGCGCCGGTCTACGCCAGCTTTAATCTTCCCCATATCGTTCCAATTTTAGTATGCGCGCACTGCCGAAGCCGGTACGTGTGTTGGCGTCACGTGTACATGTGTGTACGCACACTTTGCGACCGTCTGCATGTGCGCGACACACTTTTCACAGAGCGGGGTTACGGCACACTTTTCCTATCCTAAGCGAGCGCGGTTATGAAACACGAGCGACGTAACGTAAACGCGCGCGCACCCGCCCGCGGCCGCTTACGATTATCTCCGCGCGCGATAAAGACCCGTAACAGCTGACCCGCCGCCTTTCACCAAATGCAAGCTACATTTTCGCGAGGCAAAACTTTACTAGCGAGCCGCGATCTCGTCATCGCGAAAACTAGGAGTGGAACTACAATTTTATGGAACTAGCAATTTTTATATTTTGTTTGGCCTTCTTTGGCTTTTGTTACCGTCTTTTCCAAAATGCAATAAATTGAGGGTGCTTTATACTTATGCACACAGAAAAATATCATTCTATTGCTAAGAAAAATAATTACTTAATTGACTTTCTTCCTTTTAAGTAACGGTTATTTTTTACAAAGAATATTTTCTTTAATAATCTTAATTATTACTTATTACAAATTTAAAAAACTTATTATTATGTACTTAAAACAAGAACTTATTTTCTCTTGAAGAATATTATAAAATTGATCGAGATGAAGCGATTTCATATAATAAAAAAGCGAATTAATTTAATAATTTTGATTAAAGTATTAAACTTAATAGAATTCAGAATATATTTTGAATAAATTTGATGCTTGTGATGAACTTATGATAGATTTGTGGAATTTTTAAAACACTTGAAAAAAATAATCATTACCTGCCTACAGTACCTATTTTTTTTTGGTGTATGACCAAGTGTATGAGAAAAAAATTTAAGATACCGAGTCTGGATTCTACGGTTAATATTTCAATGACGCGATATTTATAGACGCACCTCTAATTGTCCGTCATTTCTACCTATTAGGACGTGCGCATTTGACACTCGATCTATTTGACTAATCGAAGCGAACATATCCATTTGACAGCAGATTGCTTTCTGTCAGTTGTTGATTAACGACGCGCGATTTTGCCTTGTGAACCTCAGCCTGTCTTGTTCCTTGACGTGTCATAACTGTAATTTTGTTCAAATGCACATATTGGGTCAACTTCAAATTGTGTTTATTAATTCTACGGACTCCACTTCTACAACTAATAATAACATTGCACTGCCGATGTAGATTAACTTTAATTTCGGTTTAACATATTTTTTAATTTACTTTTAGTTTTAAGGAAACGGTGAAGAGCAACTTAAACCGAGATTAAAGTTAATTTACATTGATAGAAATAGAAATAACATGT